GTGCTCATTTTTCTTGAATAGTAATCCTCTTCCGGGCGTTCCTTTCAAATACATAGGGATCTGATAGGCAATATCTAAGTGATGAGTATTTGGAGAGTGCATAAACTGACTTACTATGCCAACAGCAAAGTCTATATCAGGACGAGTGTGTGAGAAGTAGATTAGTCTTCCCACTAGTCTCTGATATTGTTTTTTGTTAACACCATCCATTTTATTTGTCACTTGTAACATTTTAGTTGGTTCAATCGGGGTTGTAGCTGATTTGCACCCAAATATTCCGAATTCACTGAGTAAGTCGAGTACATACTTTCGCTGATTAATAAAGATCCCCTTCTTAGATCTGACAAACTCAATATTGAGAAAGTACTTTACATTTCCTAGATTTTTAATTCTGAATTATGTGACTCTTTCTTTCAATGTCTCAATTTCTCTAGCATCATTTCTTGTAAGGATAATATTATCGACAGAGACAATGAGTATAGTGAATTTATCAATTTCTGAATGTTTGTAGAACATAGTATGATCAACTTGACTCTGAGTGTATCCATATTTTGTAATCACCTTTCCCAACCTCTGAAATCAGGCGCGAAGAAATTGCTTGAGCCCATACAAAGATTTCTTCAATCTGCACATTTTGTCTTCTCCAAACTTCTCAAATCATGGTGGAAGATTCATGAATACCTCCTCTTCTCATTCACCATTTAGAAAAACGTTTTTTATGTCGAGCTGATGCAAGAGCCAATCATGGTTTGCTGCTATGGACAGTAGAACACGAATGAAATAAATCTTGGCTACCCGAGCGAATGTCTCATGATAGTCAATTCTGTGAGTTTGAGTCAATACTTTTGCTACTAATCTTGCTTTATATCTTTCGACACTCCCATCAGCTTTGACTACTTTTGCTACTAATCTTGCTCTATATCTTTCGACACTCCCATCAGCTTTGACTTTAATAGTGAAGACCCATTTACACCCAACAATAGACTTTTCTCTTGATAGAGTGACAACTTCCCATGTTTCATTTTTCAAAAGAGCATCCATCTCTTCCTTTACTGCTATTCTCCAATTTGGATTACTAGGAGCTTCCTGTATTGTTCTGGGTTCATATAGATTAGAAATTTTTGACAAAAAAGTTTGATGTTTGTGTGAGATTTTTTTGTAGCATGGGTATTTCGAAATGTTATATTTGGTAGTACAAGAACGTGTTCCTTTTCTAAAGGCTATAGGAAGAACCAGATTCATAGCCTCTGAAACTTGAGCTTCTGTTGGTGAAAAAATAAGGTCAGGATTGAAATTTACCTGTGTTTCTTGAGGACCATCATTCTGTTCTTCAAATTGGGAGGGAGCTAAAGCTTCAATTTGGACATTTTTCCTTTTATGGAGCCTTTTTCTGGAATAACCCAGAGGTTCTGCTGTCGTATTATGCAGTATTTCTCCCCCTGTATTAGACAAGATAATTTCATGTTTCTCTTGACTAAGATTCTTCTGATTTTTGTTACTTTCAACAACTATTTCTAGTTCTTTGTTTTCACGGACTTCAGATGTACTTGGTGTTAAAACAACTCTTGGTAATGGATTAGAAACTTGCCAAAAATCATATTCTCCATATGCATTTTACTCCTTATAAAGTGGATTTTTATGAAAGAAGAGAATATTTTCCATGAAGATCACATCCATACTAATATAAGTTTTCTTGGTGACATGATTAAAGCATTTGTAGCCCTTTTGGTTTGAAGCATATCCAAGGAAAATGCATTTTTCAAAATTTGGATCCAATTTTGATCAAAATTTATCTGGAATATGAACGAAACTTGTGTATCTAAAGATTTTTAAAGAAATATTTGAAAACATTCGTAGAATTGAAAAAATTATTTTTTAATTTGTTTAGAGGAGTTGTATATTGTAAAGCTCGAGTTGGCATTCAGTTTATTAATTATGATGTTAAAACAACGTCCCCCTATAAGTATTTAGGGACGTTCATTGAAAATATAGTTGCCCGAGCAAACTCAATAAATGTCTATTTTTTCTTTCAGCAATTTTATTTTGTTGTGGAATGTCATGACAAGTAGATTGATGAATTATGTCTTTGTTTATCAAAAACTTTCATAAATATTTGTTAAAGTATTCAGTTCCATTGTCGGATCTAAGGATGCATATTCTAGTTTTAAACTGAGTTTTAATCATGTTGTAAAAATCCTTAAAGAGTTTTTCAACTTCTGATTTTTTGTTTATAAGATAAACCCAACATATTTTGATGTGATCGTCAATAAAAGTCACAAATCTCCTTTTCCCAGATAATATTTTGACTTTTGAAGGTCTCCAAACATCATTATGGATCATGAAAAAAGATTTTGAAGGATAATATGGTTTTGAAGCAAAATTTATGCAATGATTTTTTTGCCAAATAACACGTTTCACATTGAAGTAAAGCACAATTACCACCCTTAAATAAATTAGGAAATAAATGTCTTAAATAAGAAAAACTTGGGTGGTCTAGTCTAAGATGTAATTCCATTATTTCTTCTAATGTAGGGTTTGAACCCATACTGATGTAAGCTTGAACTCTTTTTTCATTAGGAATAGTCTCCTCAAAGTAGTAAATTCCTATCTTTTTAGCTCTCCTAATCATCATCCCCAACTTCTGATTCTGAAAAACACAAGAAGATTCAAAGAAAATTACACGGTAGTTAGAATCCTTTGAAAGGTTGCCGACGGATAGAAGATTATATTTGAGTTTTAGAACATGGAGTACAGATTTAAGATTTATACTCTTGGGCAGGTTAATGTTTCCTTTTCCAGCAATGGAAGAGAAACTACCGTCAGCAATACGAACATTTTCATGGCCAGAACATGAGATGTATGAATCAAATAAATAATGTGAATTTGTCATATGATCATAAACTCTCGAACCAATAATCCAAGGGTTTAGTATTCTACCTGCATGTACCATCGAACAATTTGGAGTACCAGTAGCCAAACTGGGGTTTAGTAGATTCAGGAGTTGATCGATTTGCTCTTTGCTACATGGGCTGATTTGTTCAGCAACAACATTCGCAGTAGGTGGCTTGCGCTTGTTTCATGACTTCTAATATGCAGGTTTACCGTGGAGGTACCAGCAGGTTTCTTTAGTGTGTCGTGGTTTGTTGCAATGATCACACCACACCCGGGGTTTCTCCTCATTCTTCTGTGAATATGTGACAGTCTGCTTACTGACATGAGCCTCAGAATGGAATGTTGAAGTCTCAGGTATGCTGGTAGGAGTGAATTTCTTGTTGAGCATCACTCCTCTTTGAGTTTCTTCTCCGAGTTTCTTCGCGGCGGACTTCTGAGAAAGCCTCGCATTTTGCAATTCTTTGGGATTTGGAAGGAAGAAGGCGAGGGTTTCTTGGAATTTTTATTCCCGCTCAAATACCATGTTGAAATTCAGAATAATGTGGAATAAAGTGAAATACTTGATTGTTTCATTGATATGAACGAGATATTATAATAATCCTACAAGAATCTTATAATATGAAAAATAATAAAAAAAAATGATATGATGAAATGATATGAAAAAAAAAATATATCACCCGATATCTTCAATAATTAATTTATGTTAATTATTATGAGATATAGGAAATAACATAAAATAGGAAAATCAATGTTTCCTAATCTAAGGAAATAAATATAAAATAGGAAAGAAAATATATCTTTATATTAAGGAAATAATTTATTCCTCATAACTTCTTATAGAAATAAATTATTTCTTATTATAATTCTTAACAGGAAAAACAATAAATCTTGTAATTTAAATTAGATATTTTAACAAATTAATCTTATGTTATTCATGAATTCTTCTAATTGAATTATCTTTTTTTAAAGAATGATTTTTGTCTTAGCTTGTTCATCTCATTTATGATTATTCTTTTATGGTTGATAATAAATTAAAAATATAAATTTTTATGAAATTATTTTAATATTATTTTATTTAAGTATTTTAATGACCTCAAAATTGAGTATCTTGTGATCGTTTGGTTCTTCTTTCGATGATATTCTATTTGACTGAAAACATGTCAAATTTGGAGACTATTTGATATTTTCAATTAATACTTAAAAAATTTCATTCATAACTCAAGTGCTTGATTTGAACATGTATGGAATCGTATTGAATCACTTTCAATGTCAATGGGTTTGTATTGTCGAGATGTTCAACTAAGCTATAAAGTTCTAAAATTAGAGCTGAAATGATCTTGAATTGGACTTAAGAAAATTTTCCTATCTAACATGCATGAATATGCATGCATGATCAAGTGAATTTATTTGGTGACATATGAAAAATGAAAAAATTATAATAGGATATAATATCTAAAGTTTACTAATTAATTAATTAGTTATATTCAAAGGATTTAAAAAAAATCAAATGAATCTCATTTTAAAATTGAGCTATTTTCTTATATTATGAATAAACAAAACTCAAAGAATAGTCTCTTTATAATTAGTTTTTTACATTAATTAGATTGAGCATCTACCAAGTACATTACATACAGATTATATTGGATTAAATTGATTAGAATGATATGATTTGCCTCTTTTGTTGCTTTGGCATTTAAATAAAAAATACACTTTACCTCATTTAAGTGAATTAAAAATGTCCAAATTCTGAGAGACCTTGCAATTATGTCCTCTAGTTTCATTCACTGTTTACTATGTATTTCTCTCTTTCCATTCCCTTACTAATACTTTATAGAAGACAGCTATCCGTAGATATAGATTTGCGGAAATTAGGTATTAAGGATTTTAATTGAAAGAAAACTGATTGTTGAAGCACAAGTTTGGTTATGTGGAATCTGATCTGAGAATCTTTGCTACAAATTAATTGAACTAGTAAGCACTCACTTCTACTCTTTGCTATCTTCTTTTCTTGAGAAAGACCCACTATACTAGGTTTCTGCATTTTATTTTCATATCAATCTTCCATGAAAACTCTAGCTCCATTAAAAGGTTCTGCAAACCGCTTACAGGCTATTTGGGCATACAGTGGGCATTACAAGCCATCTGATGAGAACCTTAAACAATTTCTGAACTACCTCAACGAAAATGGCATTGATATAACTAAAGTCGAGGTATAAGCCCCATGCTCTCTTTCTGACAACAAATGCACTGCCACTTCCATATCTTAAATTTTGTTGGTTTTCTCAGATGCGCTCTCCGTCAACTGAAGACTATGAAGAAAACAAAACGTCCGAAGGAGAAGCTAATAATTTGCTTGATGTCTACTCTCTTTCTAAGCCCCAACCTCTTCAAATCCCTTCCGGATCCTTCATTATACCTTCACAGCAATCCACAGTGTGCTCCATTAACTCTGAAACTGATAGTAGAGAAGGTATTGAAATCAAAGCTTACAATAGGACTCTGTCTGGAGGGCTTCAGAGTCCAAAGGCAGATGTTTCTGAGAAAGCAATTGAGGAAAGGATCAAATCGAAGATGAAATCCGGTTCATACCAGCTCGGGCGTCAAGTCTCGGTTAAATGGTGCACTGGTGCTGGCCCGAGAATTGGGTGTGTGGCAGATTATCCATTGGAGCTGAGGCTCCAGGCTTTGGAGCTGACGAATCTCTCACCCAAGTGGTCTTCCACTCCAACACAATGCTCTTGAAGGTATGGCTCTTGTTTATTACTGTGCTGTATGAGCTCCTGATTCAAAAAAATTTAGTATTTTATATCCTTAATCCAAATCTGGCAATTTACTCGAGTTTGGAGTTGAAACTGCGGGTTACCAAGCAGGCATCTCCGTACTGGGCAACATGTATATATATGGTGGAAACTTTGAAATAATTTGGGTGATTTAAATTTGCTATGGTATCTTAACTTTTTAGGTGCTCGAACTTTTCTTTTTGACTAATTTTTTCCACTCACATTTGTATTATTTGGACACTCTCAAATTGAGATCATGTGAGCTTGATACCAACCAAATATTTTTTGAATAATTGATTATGTTATGGTATTTTGGGCTCCGAAAATTCGACACCCCTGCCTCTCTCGAAAAGAAGAATGAGAATGAGTAAGTTTACTTTGAGGTTTTGGGTTGAATTTTCAGAAGGCAAATGAAGCAAGCGTAAGATGTGACACTACTCGGAGGTTGTCCTTATTTTGGGTGGACTTTATGATATGAGATTCAAAGTTTCATTACAAGCGGAAGCCTCTATAGTTAATTATATCTAAGAATGAGAAATTACTTTCGATTAAGGCTAATTTTTAAATGTTAATACTCATGCTTGGTATATAATAGTTGTTAAATTTAAATTGATTAAATTCATCACCATTTGTTAGAGCAAATGGTAGGACGAATGGTGATACACCTGATTAGGATCTCATGGTTTCGTAATCCCAATCTGTCACGTTCAGTGTTCTACTTGGTCAAAGGAGGCTGTCGATTTAACTTGATAGAAAAATTCTTTTTTATTTATCAGGGTTGGTTTGTCTAAGAAAACCTTGTAGACCTGGTGTTGGTGTTTGTCTAAGAGAACACACGTCTTAACAAGTGTACTATATGCTTCATATCTCAATGGAGAAAGCCAATGGGAAGCACACAGGCTGCAACAGTGACTGTTTTATAGTAGAGGTTATTTGTCAAACCATTTGGGGGACCATATTGAACAAATCACTAAGTCAGATCATAATCGGTATTTGTGATGTCATTTAGCATCAAAATCATGTGAACAATATGCACGAGTCAAGTCCTTACCGTCGTGAGATCATTTGAGCGATCATAAATGCTCACTCGATATAATTTGACTCTTTGTGAATTTAAGTTAAATTTAAAATTTTTAACCTCGATAAATTAGTGTGGTGAGTTGATGAATTTTGCTCATTATCATTTTTGGTGAAAATTTTCTTTTTTAAATTTATATTTAAAATTTAAAAATTTTAATATTTAATATATATTTTTTTATTTTATTATGAACCCCTCTGATTAATTCGTGGTCATCATTAGGGATTTAAGTAATCCAAATTTGTTTTTTTTAGACCCTCTTAGCTCTGCACACGTGCTTGCAGAAAATCGGGCCTTGTCAATTCTAATTATTGTCGAGAGGAGAACTACTTAAATATTTTAAATTTAATATTTAAAAGAAAATATTTATATTTTGAAATTTTAAATTATTTGGAGTTTTTAACTGAGCCTTTGCACGCGCAATTTTCTTAGATCATTTGAGAAGGCGTTTGGTGTGTTGGTCGAGCACCAGAGAGCTATTTTCACCGTTCAAATTTCATCTTCTGTTCACTTGTATGTATGTTGTTGTATGTTTGTTGCTGATTTGATGGTGATTTTGGCGATTTAATTTTAAAAATCTTTATTAAATCCTGTGGGCCCTACAGTGGATTTTTTATTTATTTTGTTCAAGCAAATTAATGGAAAATTTGGGGAAAAATTTACGTACGTAAGACGTACGCAGCGCTGCGTACGTCGGAGTTATACATAAGGTACATGGGAGTTATATCCGCGTTATATCCTCTGTAATCTCCATGTAACTTACATGTGACCTACTTGTACCTTATATTAAGTTCCACGGTTCTGTTTTCATATATTTGTAAGTTACAGCCTTATAGGTAAGTTACGATGAGATTATAGAGGGTATAAAGCAGATATAATCCTCTTGTACCCTCTGTATAACCCTGACATCTCTTACGCGCACGCAATTTTTTTCCTAAAATTTGGTATCACTTCAGCATAATTGTTCGTTTGCGTGCTATTTGAAGAGTGTGGGGCCACCAACCATCTCTATGGCATAAAAAAGATATTCCCACCCCTTTGGAATAACGAGAACTAGTGTTTAATGTTTTCAAGAATTTATACCCGTGTGAAGCGAAAACATAAGACATTGCAAAATAAATTATTTTCAGTTTTTTCTATTTTAATTATTTTGTCTATATATATATATATATATATATATATATATATATATATATATATATATGTATGTATAATGTCCCCTTCGGAATGATGAGAATGATTATTTAATGTTTTCAAGAATTTTTATATGTAAAGTGAAGTAAACGTGACAAAATGCAAAATATATTGTTTTCATTTTTTTTCGTTTTTTCATTTGTCTTTTTTTTCTGCCTTTTATTATTATTATTATTATTTTATTCTCTTGGGCAAACTAGTGTGGCTACGGTATCAGGGAACAGGCGCCACAATGCGATAGTAGAAACAACATTGGCGGTGTTCGGTAGTGTGTAAATCACAGGTGGTGTTGGAACTCCTGTAGAGGAAGCGCCGGTGAGGGGACGATCCAGAGATGTCAGGACTGTCAGTGGGTGGTGCCACTAAGTATTGTCAGTGGTTGGTCTGATGAGCTAGGTTGTTGATAATGGAGGTCGTATAGTCAACCAGAGGGGTCATGTGGTTTGGTGAGGCAATGTTGGATGCTTGCCATCAAACTGGGGTGCTCTGACGACAGTTCGTCGGAGGCGGCAAGTGATGTCACAAAAAAGCGATTATTGGTGAGATGTAGAGTTGGGGAGTTGTGAATCGAGATGGAAAGAGGGGGAGAGCAAAGGATTAGAGAGATTGGGGAGGGTGGGGGGGCCGTGGTGAATTATGGAAATAGATTCATCTTGAGTCGTCGGCTTCACCCCGTAGTGAAGGTGTCAGTCCCCACATTTTTTACTAAATAAGTTGAGTTTTATAGCAAGTTTGTCGTGATTAGCTTAATTGTTATAAACTTATCATTTTTTATGTTCACCCTAAAGAATCTATTTGACGAGTTTTTAGAATAAAATAGGGGTCACACCATTAAGTTAGGTTTAAAATTTCATGTCATGGTGTGTAGGCACCGTATCGCCCTGCATTTGTGGGATAAAGGTGCTTGTAGTCACGGCTCAAACACTAGATGCGTGAAGCCACACCCTTTTTACCATGAATACATATGTTTGCATTTTTGCATGATTTATGCGTTACATTATTTTATCACTTATTTTGATCATATGTGTATAATTGTTTGTATTGTTTGTGCATTTACTTCACACTTTTGTGTTTTCTCTTGTATTGCTTTTATGGAATCAACTTTCAGTGTCTATACAATTGATCTTGCATATCATATATTTGTATGCTTGTATGCATGGCTTGCCTTTTTATATGAGTTTTTTTATCTCATATGTGTCTAGATTGTGAGTCAGCATCATTAATGGTGTAGCTCGTAGTAAACCCTAAATGTGGCCAATGGTGAAATGGGAAAATGAGTGTTCAATGTTAGCTTATCTAAGTAGGTAATTTGGATTGTCTTAGGATCATTCGAAGCATATAATTGGACTAACATTCATTACCATTGTGACGGATATTAGTTTGCTTAGATGCTTGGGATAGGACCAGACTTGGTGACACTGTCAAAATTTATGTGGGAGTGCCCTCAGTTACATTGCATGCCTTGCACTATATGCTAGATTGGAAACACTTTGTAGGTGTTTGTTTAGTTCAAGGTTAGTGTATAATTAAGATTTTTGTATGCGTAGCTATAGTTCTTTTGCTTGTATGCTAGATGTCATATTTTGTTTGTCTTATTTTATGTGTTCATTAGGTTTGAGACATGTGCACTAATATATGTATGGTTGGTCTTCTTTTAGGGAGACATGTCCAAAGTGGAGGAGCTAATATTAGAAAAGATGTGAATTAACACACTTTATGCAAGTGATATTGTTAAGCTCTCCTCCTATTGGGCATGGTTCATTATATGATTGCATGTTATAAATTATCTTAACGTTCACTTTATAAGTCTAGTCTTTTCTTTTAAACTTTTTCTATATACATTTTTAGAGTATATGATTGAGTTTGTATCAAAAATAAAGTATAAGCATGAGTCTCGAGGGTGCTTGATGCGTAGAGACCATGTGGAGAGAATTAGAAACGGTATGCACGTCCTCGTATCTTAATTCTTGATCTCTTAATTGTATAGATTTAGAATGAAACATATATATGCGGAGTCTGACCACGCTTTATTTCTATTTCTTGGTGATGTTGACCCAACGATCTACCTTTTTATGTATTATTTTTTATGTGTTTTTTTTTACCTTGCATGGTGTGTTGCTATTTTTTTCTTTATTTTTTATCTCTATGGTTTGTTCGTTTTATGAGTAACCTCTTATGATAAAATATTTTTAAAAAAAATCCTAATTTTAAAAGATTTATCATAATAAAATTTAGACTTAAAAAAATCATTTGATTATTAAAAGAATTTTCATTTTCTTGTATGACCCCTCTAGGTAAGTTTTAGAATGATTTATATTGAATGGCTATGACTCAAATCACATCTAATAGGGGCCTCCATGTTTAGACACTTAGATAATATGCATCATATGCTTGCCCCCAGGAGAAGTATCATTGTTTCTCCAACCTTACTAGTCTTGTAAGATTTATTTGATTAGTTGATTGTCAAGTATGATTAGGGTGTTAGTGACTTTCTCGACTCATATGAGATTGTATATTTTTTGTGGTGTGATTCAATTTTAGTAGATCAATTCATCTATTCTATTCCACTTTGTAAGCTTCGTGGCCATTACTTTGGCAGGTATAAAATTTGTTCTTTATATTTTCCATTTGAGTAGATTAATATGATCTTAGTTGTTTCTTTCCTATAATTTAGGTCTATTGATCTATTTTGGAAGATTGCAACACATGGGTTGTTGACAAGTAGTTTGCTATTGTGTTGGGTTAACTACTTTCATGACTATGTAGACTTACGGTCTTAATAAACTTGAACGATAGATACATGGAGTCCTGATTAGGCTATTCTACCTGTCTAGGAGTTCCTTACCTATATGTTGACGCACCCTTTTGGGGCTTATATTATCTAATTGACCTACCCTGTAGTTATTTTGTAGACCCTCTTTTATTGAGAGGTAGCTATTTGTCGGGTTACAATGACTCATCATATGTCTGGTAGCTTAGTTTAACCTTGATAATAGAAGATTTCTCCTACTGAAATGACTAAAATCTCATTGTTGACCTTTTGGTTAGGGTTTTACAATAAGCAAGCAAACACTTCTATCAAGAGTTTTTTTTTTTTTTTTGTATATTCGCCAGAATGTAATAACACTTCCATCAAGAGTTTTTTTTTTTTTTTTTTGTATATTCGCCAGAATGTAATTTTATACGGGGATACATTATCATTAGAGGTCTCATTGAATCCAGAATAAAATAAATTCTATTTTGCTCTAGTTTCAAATATTTTCATTTCTTAAATAATTTTTCTCGTATGTTTACTTGGGTTCATTATGATTCTATTTATTTTTAACCGCTCCTCTGTAGTTCATGTTACGAGGATTATTCTACGAGATATCTTTGTATCTACATTTTCTTATATTTCTTACTATTTGGCCAATTTACTTATTTTCTTCTCTCATTCTGTCTCTTTTGAAATAGAAACAGTTTGAGACGAACATATAAAAAAGGTGAATATAAAGGAAGTCCATAAAAATGGGCACAAAAGGGTCAATTTTAGCCTATAAAGTAGTCCCATTCCAAAAAAAAATTTTGTACCTGAGCAATAGAGTTATATATATTCCCCATATCATTGAGGAATTGAAGATCAAATTCCTCTATAGAAAAAAACCTTCCAGTTCCTCTATATTATGAAAACCATCATGGCACACTAAAGGTAGCTTTTTGTGTCTAAAAGAAATATTTCAACGGTGCCAAACCCAGCTTCTAAGATTTGATTATACATGTAAGTTTTTACCAATGGCAAAGTCATCCCTCCATATCACTGTAGAATATGTTGATACCATGCTTCTTCTTTCAGCTATAAATGATTTAATCGCTCGAAAATTTATTTGAATTTTAGTTTAAATTGAGATTTGATCGAAATAAACAAGCCGAGCTATGAGATAAAATTTTGGATTGAATTTTTTTCAAGCCGATTTCGAACAATATGCTGAACAGCTCGAACTGGTTCAAGATTGGTTCATAAAGTGAAATTTAACATTTCAATGGTATGAAAAGCGGCATGCATGTAAAATTTAAACATTATGCAAAAACTATAATCCTACCTTGTAAAAAAAAGTTTTTGATTTGTTGTTTCAATATAAAAGCATTTTCACAAATTGTAGTTGAAATGTATTTGTTGGTTTGAAAATGAGTTACAATTCTAATTTAAAAGGATTTTGAAGAAAACTTAATTTCCTAATGTCAGATAAATAATTAAAACCCTATGCTAATGAAACAAATCGAGGCACAGGGCAAAATCATTTTTGACACTGACTCACATTTTCGAGTAGAGTTGGATTGTCAAGTCAATTTTTAACATCACTACTTATACATTATATTTAATTTTTAATTTACTTGGAATTAAAGTTAAATTTTAATCTAAAATTTATTCAATTACTTATTTATTTAAATTTTTAGGATAATTTGTTTAATAATTTCATATAAAAAATTAAATACTCATTTAAATTTTAAAATAATTTACTAGTTTAAATGAAAAATTTTATTGCTTATATTCAATGTTAAGTCTCCTCAAATTAAAACCTTTAAACTCTAAAATCAGCCTTCATAATTCAAAATTTTTTTGGACTTTCCCTTCATTCTTATCCATAAGAAGTATCATCAATGGAGAGCATAAACCAATGTGCATCCTTTAATAAATGACAAGTAAGAACATCCATAACTAAAGCAAAAAGCTCAAAG